ATAACTTTAAGCATCAGTTGTCAGAGCACCTTACCGATCACTGCACCTGTACACAGGCCATCTGAAATTAGCCCACCCAACTACCTCATCCCTATATTGTTATTTATTTTGCTCTTTTGCACCCCAGTATCTCTATTTGCACATAATCTCTTGCACATCTAGCATTCCAGTGTTAATACTATTGTAATTATTTTGCACTATAGCCTATTTATTGCCTTACCTCCATAACTTGCTACATTTGCACACACTGTATATATATTTTCTGTTGTATTTTTGACTTTATGTTTTTGTTTTACCCCATATGTAACTCTGTGTTGTTGTTTTTAGCGCACTGCTTTGCTTTATCTTGGCCAGGTCGCAGTTGTAAATGAGAGCTTGTTCTCAACTGGCTTACCTGGTTAAATAAAGGTTAAATAAAAAATAAAAATAAAAAAAGTGCCTTTGAACGGGGTATGGTAGTATGTGCCAGGCGAACTGGTTTGTGTCAAACTGCAACGCTGCTGGGTTTTTCACGCTCAACAGTTTCCCGTGTGTATCAAGCATGGTCCACCACCCAAAGGACATCCAGCCAATTTGACAACTGTAGGAGTCAACATGGGCCACCATCCCTGTGGAATGCTTTCGACAGTTTGTAGAGTCCATGCCCTAACGAATTGAGGCTGTTCTGAGGGCAAAAAAGTGGGGATGCAACTCAATATTAGGGAGGTGTCCTTAATGTTTTGTACACTCAGGGGTGTTTTCTCAGACTATCCTTGACTAAATTGCTCTTTTAAACTGGACTAACTGAAATGGCTTTTCTCAGACATGGTTTAATAAGTCTAGATTTAAAAAGTCAGATTTCCAGAAGGACGATTAGAGTTAATCTAGATCTAAGTGAAGGTTTAGAGGCAGGTTTAACTTCAGATTAATGGATGTTGGCCCCCAGGTTCACCTTGGCAATAGAGGACAATTGATTACTTGGACTGTTTGAATGATTATCAGAAAGCACCACCAAGGCCAGACAGAAGGGCAGTTATAGACAGGAGCAACCCACTGAATGATTTTGATTAAATCAATTTCAGTGACCATTTCCATATGTACAAAGAAATTGCAGCCAACACTTGTTTGCTTGAGCCAAGGCTTTCATCTGACTCTCTTTGGGGAAGGCCCATCCCTCCTTCCCTACAAGTACTAACCATCTTGAGGTTTTTGGCATCTGGAACCTTCATTGTGAAACAGGAGATTTGTGTGGTGGAAGTGAACCGACAGTATTCAGAATGGTCCACAAAGTCTGCAATGCTATATGTGAACTGAAAGACAATTATGTTAAACAAAAATATAAATGCAACATGTAAAGCGTTGGTCCCATGTTTCATGAGCCGAAAAAAAATAGCTTTTCCATACGCACAAAATGCTTCTCAAATTCTGTGCACAAATTTGTTTACATCCCTATTAGTGAACTCTGTTCGGGAAACCGTCCATCAGTGTATAAAATATTCTCACTGATTAAAGCAACAATCCCCTCCCAATTCAGACAGTCCCAGAAATATTCTTGCTTGAGAAATTGCTCTTTGCTAAGAAGCTATTTGTTTCTTTACCATTTTAATTGAAAACAATCAAAGTGAGGTACTTAATTGTTACCCAGAAATTATATATTGATATAAAAACAGCTGATTAGGACCTTTAAAAACAACAATTCCTTCAAAATTCTTGCCCAATAACCTTTTCAGTCACCTGAATAATCTAGCGGTCCTATGTAGCTGACGGACAAGAGTATAAATGTGTAGTTCTGATATTTTCACACAATATAAATAAATAACAGCGTAAATGAGAATGTGGGCTCATGAACATTGACCCTAAGACATAGCAAGATCTCTAAGCATTATGGCAGGTACGCATCTCATTTCCTAAAGAACGCTTTATCTCATTTCCTACAGGGCTTTCCAGAAACTCACCCCAGAACTTTTCACTCTACTGAATACATCCCTGTTGTTCCTGATGTCTGAAAGCAGGAAGTTGCCCCACTATGAATGATAGAGATGATATCACTGAGTCTACAGTGAGGGAAGAAAGTATTTGATCCCCTGCTGATTTTGTAAGTTTGCCCACTGACAAAGAAATGATCAGTCTATAATTTTAATGGTAGGTTATTTGAACAGTGAGAGACAGAATAACAACAACAAAATCCAGAAAAACACATGTCAAAAATGTTATAAATTAATTTTTATTTTAATGAGGGAAATAAGTATTTGACCCCCTCTCAATCAGAAAGATTTCTGGCTCCCAGGAGTCTTTTATACAGGTAACGAGCTGAGATTAGGAGCACACTCTTAAAGGGAGGGCTCCTAATCTCAGCTTGTTACCTGTATAAAGACACCTGTCCACAGAAGCAATCAATCAATCAGATTCCAAACTCTCCACCATGGCCAAGACCAAAGAGCTCTCCAAGGATGTCAGGGACAAGATTGTAGACCTACACAAGGCTGGAATGGGCTACAAGACCATCGCCAAGCAGCTTGGTGAGAAGGTGACAACAGTTGGTGCGATTATTCGCAAATGGAAGAAACACAAAAGACTGTCAATCTCCCTCAGCCTGGGGCTCCATGCAAGATCTCACCTCGTGGAGTTGCAACGATCATGAGAACGGTGAGGAATCAGCCCAGAACTACACGGGAGGATCTTGTCAATGATCTCAAGGCAGCTGGGACCATAGTCACCAAGAAAACAATTGGTAACACACTACGCCGTAAAGGACTTAAATCTTGCAGCGCCCGCAAGGTCCCCCTGCTCAAGAAAGCACATATACAGGCCTGTCTGAAGTTTGCCAATGAACATCTGAACATCCAAAATGGAGCTCTTTGGCATCAACTCAACTCGCCATGTTTGGAGGAGGAGGAATGCTGCCTATGACCCCAAGAACACCATCCCCACCGTCAAACATGGAGGTGGAAACATTATGCTTTGGGGGTGTTTTTCTGCTAAGGGGACAGGACAACTTCACCGCATCAAAGGGACGATGGACGGGGCCATGTACTGTCAAATCTTGGGTGAGAACCTCCTTCCCTCAACCAGGGCATTGAAAATGGGTCGTGGATGGGTATTCCAGCATGACAATGACCCAAAACACACGGCCAAGGCAACAAAGGAGTGGCTCAAGAAGAAGCACATTAAGGTCCTGGAGTGGCCTAGCCAGTCTCCAGACCTTAATCCCATAGAAAATCTGTGGAGAGAGCTGAAGGTTCGAGTTGCCAAACGTCAGCCTCAAAACCTTAATGACTTGGAGAAGATCTGCAAAGAGGAGTGGGACAAAAACCCTCCTGAGATGTGTGCAAACCTGGTGGCCAACTACAAGAAACGTCTGACCTCTGATTGCCAACAAGGGTTTGCCACCAAGTACTAAGTCATGTTTTGCAGAGGGGTCAAATACTTATTTCCCTCATTCAAATGCAAATCAATTTATAACATTTTTGACATGCGTTTTTCTGGATTTCTTTGTTGTTATTCTGTCTCTCACTGTTGAAATAAACCTACCATTAAAATTAGACTGATCATGTCTTTGTCAGTGGGCAAACGTACAAAATCAGCAGGGGATCAAATACTTTTTTCCCTCACTGTACATAACAGCAGCATTATGGCAAGCACTCCTGTCTCTACCTTCTTTCTCCTTTCTTATTTCTGAAAGTGCGGTCAGAAGATTTACGGGACTGATCGTGTGTCGCTGCCACACCATTACAGCTATGGTTTTTGTAGTGTCTTATGTCAGAAAAGCCCTTTCCACATATCTTGCAATAGTAAGGCCTCACTCCAGTGTGGACTTGCATGTGGGCTTTGACGTTGTTGGCTTGGCTGAAACCTCTCCCGCAGACATCACATTTGAATGGCTTCTCTCCCGTGTGGACTCGCTCATGCCTTTTGAGATTGCTGTTGACTGAGAAAGTCTTGTCACAATAGCTACATTTGAAGGGCTTTTCACCTGTATGGGTACGCTCATGTCCTTTGAGAGCTTGCTTTAGAATGAATTTCCTTCCACAGTATTTACATTCATGGGGCTTCTCTCCACTGTGTAGTTTCATGTGATAGTCAAAAGTATGTTTATAGGCGAAGGTCTTTCCGCAAATGGAACAAGAGTGTTGATTTTGTTCCGTGTGAATTCGTTGATGCTTTTTCAGAGTTAGCATGGAGCTGAAGCAGTTCAAACATTTGTCGCAACTGAATGGCTTTGTTGAGGTTCCCTCTTCCCCAGGAATGTTCTCTCCTTCAGCTGTGTGCCATTTTAGATGGTGTCGTCTCATTTGGAAATTGTAAATAAAAGTCTTCCCACATAGGTCACACATAAATGGTTTGGTTGCCCCATGATGGTGCATGTGAGCTTTTAGGTCGGTGGACTGAAGGTAGCTTTTCCCACACACTTTACATTTGTACGGTCTCTCCCCTGTGTGAAGCACTTGGTGTCTCTGAAGGTTTGCTTTATGGCCAAAAGCAGCTCCACATGTCTCACATTTAAATGGCTTCTCCCCTGTATGGATTACCTTGTGGTTTTCAAGGCTGGATTTAGTTATAAAGCGCTTACCACACTCTGAGCATAAGTGCGGACGTTCACCTGTATGTCTTCGCATATGAACACTAAGGTCATAAGACAGTCTGTAACTCTTCCCACATTCAGCGCAGCAGTGTGGTTTTTCACCGGTGTGGATTCTCTCGTGCCCCATAAGCATGGCCCTTTTTGTGAATCCCTTTCCACAAGTAAGGCACTTGAATGGTCTCTCCAATGCATGAACAAGCCGATGTTGTACCAGATCTTTCTTGGTAGGGAATATATTTTCGCAGACTTTGCAACTGAATGTTTTTTCTCTGTGACGCAACATGTGATGTTCGAGCTGCTTGGACATTCTGAATGTTTTGCCACATTGACCACAAGCGAATGGCCTCTCTCCTGTGTGAATTAGCATGTGACGTACAAGCAAGCGGTTCAGGTTGAAGATCTTGTCACAAACATCACACTTGAAGGGTCTTGTGTGACTTAGCTTGTGAGCTTCCAGTAACCCCTTCCTGGTGAAGGTCTTCTGACACATATCACACTTGAAGCGCTTGATTTCTTTGGATCGTGTCCCTTTAGTAGTATTGTTGTTTTTCTGGCTTTCATGGCCGTCTCTCTCGTTGCCCTCTGGCAGAGCAGCTCTCATATGCTCAATGTTGGATTCAGAGTCTCTTGGGGAGGGGTCTGTATTCAGTCCATATGTGTCTCCCAGAGTGGAGTCATTCTCCAATGAAGACGTCCCTGTGGGTTTACTGCAAACCTTTACAGGACCTAAATATAAAAGGAATATGATGATACACATTGTAAAACTATGGCCCAAGTTAAGAGGATATAAGAAAACGAAGTTGTCCAAAACCAATTTGGTTAATTAGCCAAATAAATCAACCAATATATGGCAATAGACATTTTTTCACATGAGCCTTAAAATAAACATGGTAGTAACAGCCTGTGTATTGTTTTCAAACAACTGGGTCCTATTCATTAGTGCACACCGCAGCAAAATATTTAGCAACAAAATGAACACAAGCGTTTCTTGGACAAGTTCAGGTAGTCACTCGCCAGTTTGGTTCCTAGTGTCCTGCTGAATGCTGGAGCACATTCAGCAGGACACAACGGTGTGCAACGTTTGATTCAACAGAAACAGTGCTGTTCTGAACGACCAGTTCAAGAATGTTGTGATTAAGTTGGCCCAGAGGGTGATTGTTTGCAGTACAAGTTTCGCGATTTGAAACAGTCACACATATTGATCAGGCCAAACCCACTTGACCCACCAAATGGGATTAAACATACCTAAAAGATTGAAGAATAGCGCGCACCGTTCTGGGAAAACATCTAGTTCAGGTACAAACCATCACGCAGCCATTGAACAAATATTGAACTAAACCGTAGACAATATTGAACTAAACTGAATGCACCCCTGGTTGGTCAACAATTATTCAAATTCACACCAACTTGAGGATATTACCTGCACGGACTGATGTTGCGTTAGTGACGGGGTTTGCTTGACTGGCATTCCCTGGCAATGCTGAAGCCGCTGTCATTCCAGGCAACATTGGGAGATCTAAAACATAACAAGCAAAATTACATTGAAACATTTACAACTCTGTCTCACTTTTCTTTCCACACAATGTGTGTGATGTAAGTTGATACAAACAAAACTATCAAAGATACGGGGAAAAACAATAATTTAACTAACTTGCTAAAGACAGTAATGACTGTTGGTCTATAACACTCACCAACTGGTTTAATTGCAAAGATGATTCCATTGTGCAGAACATGGGTTGGTCCTTTCGGTTCTGCTTGTGCCTGCACTTTAGCTAGAGATGTTCTATAATGTTCAGCCTTCTCAGTCATTGTCTTCATATCTTCCTCCATCTGCTCCACCTTGGTCTTCAATTTCTCATTTTCATTTTGTAAACGTGAGGAGGACACCAGGAATAGTTGGCAAATTTTACGAATAGCCTCCCCCATCACCTGATTCATTATGGTGCAAAGCTGTGTAGAGAAATGTGTAAAAAGTCACTACACTGAACAAAAATATAAAAACGCAACATGTATAGTGTTGGTCCCATGTTTCATGAGCTGAAATAAAAGATTCCAGAAATGTTCCATGCGCACAAAAAGCTTATTTCTCTCAAATTGTGCACAAATCTGTTTACATCCCTGTTAGTGAGCATTTCTCCTTTGCCAAGACAATCCATCCACCTGACAGGTGTGGCATATCAAGAAGATGATTAAACAGCATGATCATTACACAGGTGCACCTTGTGCTGGGGACAATAAAAGGCCACTCAACACAATGCCACATATGTCTCAAGTTGAGGGAGCGTGCAATTGGCATTAATGCTGCTCTTTAATTATTTTTAATTATCTATTTTTTACTTAACACTTATTTTACTTAACTGCATTGTTGGTTAAGGGCTTGTAAGTAAGCGTTTCACTGTAAGGTCTACACCTGTTGTATTCGGCGCATGTGGCAAATACAATTGTATTTTATTTGTAAATGTAAATTTGACTGCAGCAATGTCCACCAGAGCTGTTGCCAGAGAATTTAATGTTCATTTCTCTACCATAGCGTCATTTCAGAGAATTTGGCAGTACGTCCAACCGGCCTTACAACCGCAGACCCCGTGTAACCACGTCAGCCCAGGACCTCCACACATCCGGCTTCTTCACCTGGGGGATCGTCTGAGACCAGCCACCTGGACAGGTGATGAAACTGTGGGTTTGCACAAGCGAACAATTTCTGCACAAACTGTCTCAAGGAAGCTCATCTGCGTGCGCGTCATCCTTACCAGGGTCTTGACCTGACTGCAGTTCGGGGTTGTAACCGACTTCAGTGGGCAAATCCTCACCTTCGATGGCCATTGGCACACTGGAGATGTGTGTTCTTCACAGATGAATCTCAGTTTCCACTGTACCGGGCATATGGCATACAACGTGTATGGCGTTGTGTGAGCGAGCGGTTTGCTGACGTCAACGTTGTTTACAGAGTGCCCCATGGTGGCGGTGGGGTTATGGTATGGGCAGGCATTAGCTACGGACAACGAACATTGTTTTCTATCCTCCCCAGATTCAGAATATACAATTTTCATTGTCATGGCATCTTGGTTCAATAGTTATTGACGAGATAAAACAGAATATCCAATATAAAACCAACTTTCCCTCTGTACCAAACCGAACCATATACCTACCAGCTCTCTAAAAAGTCAGGTAAACAATACTTTCCTGTGGATATTAGACTACCTAACATTATACAGCCAGCTACAGCAGAGGATGTGAAACCATAGCTACCTAGCAACATAGCTTAGGGCTTGCCAGGATATACCGACCCTACCGTTAAGCTTGTTTACACTGAGTTGCGCTGGGGTCTAATGCAATCATGGTTACATTAAGACACCGTGGAGCAGATGCGAGATATGGGTCAGAAAACATACCTCAATGTAAGGATGGGACATGCCACTGTACTCCAAATGTTACCTTTATCCACACTGCTCCATTGAGAAGATTGAAATACTGCTAGTTTTCTAGCAGTATTTCAATCTTCTCGGGGTATCAGTGTGGCTAGAGGTACACTTTTGAGTACAGTGGCATATCCATTCCATCCCTGCATTGAGGTACGTTTTCTGACCCATATCTTGTGCCGGCTCCACGGTGTCTTAATTAATGTAACCATGATTGCGTTCCGATCCCAGTGCAGCTCAGTGTAAACAAGTGTAATGTACAGGAGATTTGTTAAAGCTGTAATATGTAACTTTTTGGCCAACCAGACCAATAATCACATAGAAATGGGAGTCATTCTCATTGAAAGCAAGTCTAAGAAGTGGTAGATCTGCGCTATTTCTATGCTTCCCGTTCTTAAGTTTAATTTTTTAGTCTTTTACTTTCATTACATTACATTTACGTCATTTAGCTGACGCTCTTATCCAGAGCGACTTACATTATTATTTTCATACTGGCCCCCCGTGGGAAACAAACCCACAACCCTGGCGTTGCAAACACCATGCTCTATCAACTGAGCTACCTCCCTGCCTGCCATTCCCTCCCCTACCCTGGACGACGCTGGGCCAATTGTGCGCCGCCCCATTGGTCTCCCGGTTGCAGCCGGCTACAGCAGAGCCTGGATTCGAACCAGGATCTCTAGTGGCACAGCTAGCACGTGCCTTAGACCACTGCGCCACTCGGGAAACTTTCAGTTTTGCACACCATCATCAAACAGCTGAAAATACAATATTTTGGGTTTTTTAAAATATATTTCACAGCAGTTTAGATGGTACAATGGTTCTCTACACTATACATTGCATGTCCCATAAACTGAAATTAGGCAAACTATTAGAATTTTAGCAACCAGGATATTGTGGAGTGATTTCTGCATATTGCACCTTTAAGAGCCCAAAGCTCAATCTGAACATTAACACTTGTGGCTTGAGGTATGGATAAATTGATACCTTGATAGGGTTAGGGTTCGTGCTCCCACTGGGCCATATCGCCATGTTACAGCGCTTGTTTACGTTAGACAAGAAGCAACCACCTGTGCTAATTAGCTATTTAGCGATTGACGTTTCTAAACGTTATAACACAGCGTAGGGATTGTAGTTCACATGAGGTAGTAGTGGGCGAAGCTAATGACTGTAGGGAGAAGGCAGAATGCAGCCTAGAGTTTGGTAGTTAATGCCGCGTTCACGTGCTAGTCGGAAATAGGAAAGTCGGAAATTAGTCTTGCTAACTGGTTTAAATTATACACGTGCCGCGTTCAACCAGTTGTCAATTCGGACATTTCCGAGTTTCGTAGTTCCGACTAGGCCATGAACGCAGCATAAGGGCTTGCAGTAGTAATGATACCTAGCTAAACAAATGAGGAAGCTAATTTACCTAATCGACGTTAACTGTTAGCTAGCTGGTTGTAGTCACTACGCGCCCGTCATCACGCTGCTCTGTACAGTATTTGTCTGTGCTCACCTCTCTCTCCGGTTTACTGCTTTCGTTAGCGTCAGAGTTTGGTGTGTTTGGCAAAAGTTGGCTAATTTCTGTCATTACAGTCTCGACGACAAAGGCCATAATCGATGTTGTTTCTGACTGGAACATATTGTAAGATGACATTTTGCCCTCACTCATCCACGTAACGTTAAAATAAAAACTATAGCTAGCTACATGTGTTAGCTAGCATCTGTTGGCTACCGATGTGAAGCAGGCAATAACAGAAATATCCAAAGGATAGTCTTCTCTTTGGTTAATAAATGGAGGAAAGTATAACGCCCGCCCAGCATACTGTCGACCAATCGCGTTCACGTTGTCATGGTGCGTCACGAAAACCCTTGTAAAAAGTCAGGGTGTAGTCACAGATGGAACAATGACATTAGATTCAAAACAACTGGGACCTCGGGGGAAAAAAAGGTCCAACCAGGGTTTTATGGCCGACTACATCAAAATGTTGTATTGCCGCCACCAACTGGACGATTAAATAGACCATTCTTAATAGTCATTCTAACAATCCACTTCTTCCTTCTTTTAGTTCTCCATATCTCCCTTCTCAGGCTCTAGGACCTGAAAAGGTGGTACCGCTTTTGCTAATATTCCATGTAACTCCTTTGCTGTGAAATCTTTCAGCCCCAGGAACCGCTCCGCCACAATCACAATGATTTCAATCTTCCTAGATCTTTTCTCCACCCTGGCAGTACCATTTATCACCATTATGATAAAGACCACAAAGTCCACCTTTTTAACCATTAAAATGTCAGGATATTCTTGGTGTAAGACAACCCCTGCAGTCTGCAGTAAAGACCTATCCACTACCATGGACTCTTCTAGTACAACATTCAAACCCTCAACCCTTTTCACAGCTCCTGCATATGAAATGCTCGTACAACCCTGACTTTGGCCATGTCATTCTCTTTTACCCTTGTGGGGCATTCAGAAGACGTGGCTTCATGATTCCCACCGCAATTACAACATGTCAAATTTTCTTCACTTTTATAACACATATGATCTTTTCCACATCTTACATTTTAGTCATTTAGCAGACGCTCTTATCCAGAGCGACTTACAGTTAGTGAGTGCATACATTTTCATACTGGCCCCCCGTGGGAAACGATCCACAACCCTGGCGTTGCAAGCGCCATGCTCTACCAACTGAGCTACAGGGGACTGTAGATCTTGTACATCTCGACTTCTCCCTTCTGCAAACACTTTCTACATGACCAAAAGCTTTACAATGTTCACACTGCTTTGGTCTTGGGATAAATGTTCTAACTCTGTAGTTAATATACCCTAACCACACTTCATTAGGGAGAGACTCCATTTCAAAAAACAAAAGAACAGAAATTCTTCACTTTTTCCCCATTCACCACTCGATTCATCCGACGTGCTTCAATCACTCCAGGAATATTTTTCATCTCTTCCAAATCAACTTCCCATAGAAGGGAAGTTGAAGTTTTTTTTTTAACCTTTATTTAACTAGGCAAGTCAGTTAAGAACAAATTCTTATTTACAATGACGGCCTACACCGGCCAAACCTGGACGACGCTGGGCCAATTGTGTGCCGCCCTATGGGACTCCCAATCACGGCCGGTTGTGATACAGCCTGGAATCGAACCAGCGGGTCTGTAGTGACGCCTCAAGCACTGAGAGGGGTGCCCTGTTCCGAAGAGACACACACAACACTTCAAACTTATCAAATCGAGTAAGACACAACGCACGTTCCTTCTGATCCGCAGAATCACAAAAAATCAAATCAAGCCCGCCTCTCGTGATCCTCACATCCTTCACTTTACCCAGCACTCTCTCCACCAGTTTGGATAACTCAAATGGTTTCTTCAGCTGCCCCTTATTAACAAACCGTACTCCTACTAGATACGAAGGGTCATTGTCATCACTGTACCCTACTTTGCTCAGTTTTCCATTGTTTTTAACAATACTCCAATTCTCCTTGATTCTACCGCCATTGTATTCAGATTCCACTTCATCATCCGTTTCCGCCATCTTCCTATTTCCGGAACTTGGGCCTCTTTCTAAAGCTCCGACCTGAAGATCACTGGCGTCATGCCTTCACCTTGTATTTTTCGAAGATCCCAGTTGTTTTGAATACAGCAAATGGGTGTTAATACGAATATAGTTTATGTTCACCACCTCCTAATTTCTTAAAATACTTATGGCAAAGATGTTTTATAAATAAACCAAGATGGACTACAGCCTGTCGTTTCCAATGTGAACAAATGAATCATAGTGGGCTGAACAAGCACGAGCTAGCGAGATCCTATTGGCCCGTTCTACCATGTATCTGCATATTTCTGTTAGAGAACGCCTACTCTGAAGTGCGTGTGTGCAATAACTCAATTCGCCTTTGCATCGATTATGTTTAATCGATGAGAACTTGCAGAATGTTGGTCAAAATCCATCTTCTTCCACTGCCGGCTACTGGGCTTCCTCTCACTACCATATTTGGTAGTGAGTGGAAACGCAAGCGGATGCTTCACATTTATACATCCGGTGAAATATCTATCTCATTGTTCTATCTGTGGCAAAAATAACGACACACTTCCGGGAATGGTAAGTGCCAGAACAATAGAGTTAGGCCAAAGACAGTACAGTATGAAGATGGACAGAAACTGCTTCTCCGATAGAAATCCCCAATCACACTTGTATGCGATGTCATGGCGACGTTGGCTAGTTTATGCCGCGTTCAAAACCACTGGGAACTAAAAAAATATGATGTCAAATCATGACCTCAGTGATTTTCATATCGGAAAGTCATAGCTCTAGAAAGAGGCCCGAGTTCGGAGTTGGATGACCACTCAAATCGATTTTTTCCCCAGTCGGAGCTCGTATTTTCCCCTAGTTGTGTTTAACGCTCGGAAGTCGGAGATTTCCGAGTTCCCAGTGGTTTTCAACGCGGCATAAACTCATGCGTAGACCCGGTAAAGTGTATCAAACGGTTGTCTCGCCCATGTGTAGGCCGTCAAATCCAAGGCACTCCTTCGATATAGTGTTTTTTGACTAAAAATGAAAGTGTCAAAAGCAGAAGCCAAGGGATTAATAAGAACAGTGGTTAAAAAATAAGTGGCAAGAGTTGTGGAACAGGTAGATTAAGGGAAGACACCTGTATAAGATCCAGGAAAAGTTGGGGTAGGGAGGTCCTCAGGCCGAGAGAGAAGAGAGGAAAGTGTAGTCACAAGGCTGAGACTAGGACACACAAGGCCAAATAGTACATTGAAATTGGTGGGGAAACATCCGACTGGGAGGTGTGATCATTGTCAGGAGGAGATGGAGACAGTGGAACATGTTCTATTTCAATGCCAGAAATGTGAGAGAAAGGGAGAGATTGTTACTAGATTTGAGGAGTAATGCGGTTGAAGAGCCAGGATTAAGTGAATTGCTGGGGAAATCTTCAGGGGATGTAGTATTTAATTACGTATTTCGTTTCCTTAGGGAGACGAGATTATTGGGTAGGATTTAGACCTTCACTGTCTCTGGTCCACACTCCAGTTGGTGGCGGTAATGCACCTTAAAGTTGGTTGCCAACCGCCATATAAAATCCACAGAAGAAGAATGAAAACGTCAGATATTCACTTTCACTTGGTTGGACTAATAATACGTTCATCTACTTAAGACACTGTCTCAAATATTGGTTGTGTGTCTTTAGATTTCGAGAAAATTATCAACTAAGGATTAATTTTTCACTTCTCTCATTGACTTCTCAAACCTGGTCTGTTTCGCAAGCGTTTCCGGAATTCTCGCGATGTTGCGCATCTGGGTTTAGAAACTGTGGCGTGTGCAATAACTAAATTCACCCTTGCACTCCTCCTAAACAACGCAACTTTTTTGAAACTTTGGTAAAGGGTAAAGTCTAAAAAACGCAGTCCATTCTGTTACAGATTATAGTTTTGGAAACAGAAAACTGTATGGAGATCAAATGTTTAATCGATAAGAAAATTAGCAGAATGTCCACCAAAATCCACTGCCGGCCAGGTGGTCTCCAATTTATTGAAAAATCACCAACATTTCAAGAATAAAGTTCTATATGGGCGCTAAAATGGCGTCCGTTCTAAAACCTGGCCTAACTCAAACTCTGGTCAGTGCTATCCGGGATCCTATCGAAAACCCTAACCTTACTTAACCATTTAAAATTTCAATGTGGTAGGGACGTCCAAAGGATTCCAAAATGATCCGTGAGGTAGCGCGGATCATTTTGGAATCCTTCAGAATAAGAGTCCTGTCCTGTTCACTTTGTAAACGAATAATTAGGGAGAAAATGTGCACTATTACCGATATATTTCATACTAGTTATCATACAAATAATTATTAAATGTATTTCTAAGATATTGTGATTTCTTAGTTGACCATTTAGGCTTGAAAAAATAAAATCATTTTTGGACTGTACACACATTTCTGTAGATTGTGTCACATTAAAAGTGGGGTCCATTCAACCCAGGAGCACCTCTATAGTTTCTAAATCCAGTTTACACAGCCAGGGTCGTTGTGCAATTTTGTTGTCCCTTAAAGAGTTGGAAATCTGCTTAAAGACCTCCTACAGTCTCCTTTTCACCTCTTAACACCCGATTGACTTTTATTTTATTTTATTTTTATACACATTTCAATAGGTGGTCCAGGTATGACATGACACAAGTGGGCCTTACCTCTTTTATCCTGTGTTTTTTTTATTAACAAACAGTGAAAGAGGAATAGTCACATACAAAAAAAGAAACTTTTTACATTGCCAGGGATCCTACACAAACAAATCATATTGATTAATAATAGTACAGGGTTTTACTGCCTTTTTGTTTTTAATTTTAGTTAAAGTAGTGCCATATTAGTTGAATTCATTTATAAAATGAAAAAAGTTAGGTTTTGAATCAGACCATTTGTTTTTGTAAATATGAAATATACCTATAATTATTTGCAGTTGAATTAAATATACTCAATCCTTATCAATCTCATTTCTGAAATAATTATCAAAGCCATTCAATTGTTCCACATGTCCTGTTAGTCAATCCAAAACATTCCACTATAAATACAGGTAAAACATTTATGAAAAATGGTCTGCTTCTCCATTCCACAGAAATCACAATTATAATTAATATTCAGCTTGAATCTTTCCAAAACATTTTTACGTGTTCTCATTCATTGTGAATATTCCTTCTATGAGTTCGCAGATGTCTTTTTAGACTTGATTTTAACTTCAGGTGAGTTCCACACAAATGACATTGAACTCCCTCCCCTGTATGAATCTTCATATGCGCTGTCAGGCTTCCCTTCAGACTGAAACATTTGCCACATACGTTGCAGCGATGTGGTTTCTCCTCTGTGTGAGTCATCATATGCTTTGGAAGGCTTCCCTTGTCGCTGAAGCATTTGCCACATTCTTTGCACTGAAATGGTTTCTCCCCAGTGTGAATCCTCATATGCTTTATCAGGTCCCCCTTAAAGGTGTAGGCTTTGTCACATTCTTTGCACTGATGTGATTTCTCAGTGTGGTTTTTCTGATGCACTTTCAGACCACCTGCAGTTGTCATGCATTTTCCACACACATCACATTTAAAAGCCTCCCCTGTATGAGTACCCATATGATTTTTCAGGATGGACTTGTGAAGGAAACGTTTGCCACATTCGGTGCAGCAGTGTTTTTTCTCTTCCGTGTGAAGCTTCATGTGCTGGGTCATATGGTCCTTCCGGATGAAACATTTCCCACATGTGTCGCACATGTGTCTTCTCTCCTCACTGTGCCGATATTGTTGATGCCGTTTCAGATTACGTGCTTTCTGAAAGCATTTTCCGCACACATCACATTTCAGATCAGGAAACTCACAGGTTTTTTTCTTTGGCTGTCCTGTTAATCTCTCTTCGCTGTGCAGATTTAGCTGATGCCTTTTCAGACTACGTGCTGCTGTAAAGCATTTCCCGCACATGTCACATTTCAGATCAGGCAACTCACTGGTTCCTTTCCTTGGCCGTCCTCTTCCTCTCTTTGATTTGAGAGGCTTTAATCCTGACAGTGGTATTCTACTCTCCACTCTTCCATTTTCACTGTTGTCACTGTCTGGACTTACTTCAGAGGGGGGCTCATAGTCACTGGTGGATTCAGATTCTCTGTTGTTGCTCTCGTCATCAGATTCTGTTTGGTTCTCCACAGTTATGATGTTGAAAGAGTCCCATATAGACTCTTCGGTGTCCGACTCCACTGGCCCCAGACCAGGGCTCCATTCCTGCTCAGGAATAACCTCATCTTCAGTGAGAGTGAGCTGCTGGAGGTCTGGAGGGAAGGAGAAAGGATAAAAAGTGATAACTTAAATGCCGAAACGAGACAAGAAATAGGACTACTTCCTACCTTTGACTGATTATTGGACTGAACACTGTGGGGATCTATTTTCTTACAACTAGATGTGATGCCTAGCTTAGAAAGAATACATTAATGATTAAACATAATAGGTTTGTGCTGTACTGATATAGATTGTTTAACATAACAAGCTGTGATTAATTTACATTTACATTTTAGTCATTTAGCAGACGCTCTTATCCAGAGCGACTTACAGTTAGTTCATACATTATTTTATATTTTATCATACTGGCCCCCCGTGGGAATCGAACCCACAACCCTGGCGTTGCAAACGCCATGCTCTACCAACTGAGCTACATCCCTGCCGGCCATTCCCTCCCCTACCCTGGACGACGCTGGGCCAATTATGCGCCGCCCCATGGGTCTCCCGGTCGCGGCCGGCTACGACAGAGCCTGGATTCGAACCAGGATCTCTAGTGGCACAGCTAACACTCCGATGCAGGCTGAGAGACTGAGATACACACACTGCCTCTTTGTTAAACCGCTCAAGGACATGTGTTCTGCTACAATGAAGAAGAACAAACTATGTCTGAGGATGCTGACTCGAGACAAGTTGTAAAGATAACAACTAATGCCCGGCAACAGTGAAGCGCCAAGGGGCTGGGACCAGCCTGTGCGCCAACGATAGCTTGGGTAAGTTTAAACCACACCCAGCCTCTACTCTGACAGGCCCAGCAGGGTGCGGGAACTATCTCTGTCAGAGTATTTAAAGAAGAACTTATAACAAAAGCTCAGTTCTCTTTCTGCCCATCGTGGTTTTTCAGTGGGCCCGTATATACGAACATCATATTTACCATTCAAGTGTTTGCATTAATTAAAATACTAGTCTATTTTAGACGTGTATTGACCTGTTTTTGTTCCTATACCAGATTTGAATTGACGCAACTTGAGAACACACGTGTCCCAGAAAATAATACCTTTTCAAAAACGGATTAAAGACAATTTAAGACAAAGTGGCATATAGAACATTTGTGATATTCACAACACTTTCTTAAAATGGACACATTTTTCTGGCATGAAATTGGTATCCTATTGAAGTAATTGTACATGCAGGTATATACTTTGATAGCTAGCTAACGTTATGTACTTAGCTAGCCATACTGCTTGCGAATCCCCCACATCTTTTATTGCTATATCCCCCACATCTTTTATTGCTACTAGGCAGTATATGGCTAATGAAAGCCTCAAATTTCAATGATTAAAATTAGGCTACACTGTAAAATGCATGTCAAATAGAGAGACGTAGTCACAAACCTGCTAATCTTTGCAATTTTATCTCTGGTTTGAACACCAAATCCAGCAGATTTCGTAGACGTGCAATTGCCCGCTTCAAACGGTAGATTTCTCCCTGGTACTCTGCTATCGTTGTTTTAACTACCACGGATATCTCCAGGGGAACTGCAGCTAATTTTTGATCTAGAACCTCATTAAGTAGCTGTAGTTTAGACATTTTGGGGAGGAAAAGAGTGGGAGAAGTTATTGATTTTTGTGCTGCTCAATAGTTGCTATAGCTAGCTAGCTAGGTATAGAAACTGCTGCGAAGTAGGCCAGAATGAGTAAGTACTTCCGGGTCAGATTTTTGGGAATCTTTCAGAATAAGAGTCGTGTATCAAATCAAATAACGTTATTTGTCACGTGCTTCGTAATCAACAGGTGTGGACTAACAGTGAAATGCTTACTTACAGGCCCTTCCCAACAATGCAGAGTGAAACAAAAACAAAACAAAAAATATATAAATAATAACACAAGGAAAAATGCACAATGAGTAACGATACCTTGGCTATATACATGGGGTACCAGTACCGAGTCGATGTGCAGGGGGGACGAGGTAATTGAGGTAGATTTGTACATATAGGTAGGGATAAAGTGACTAGGCAACAGGATAGATAATAAACAGTAACAGCAGCGTATGTGATTAGTCAAAAGAGTAAGTGCAAAATGGGTCAATGCAGATAGTCTGGGTAGCTATTGGTTAACTATTTAACTAACTATTTAGCAGTCTTATGGCTTGGGGGTAGAAGCTGTTTAGGGTCCTGTTGGTTCCAGACTTGGTGCATCGGTACCGCTTGCTGTGCAGTAGCAGAGAGAACAGTCTATGACTTGGGTGGCTGGAGTCTTTTAACATTTTTAGGGCCTTCCTCTGACACCGCCTGGTATAGAGCTCCTGGATGGTAGGGCGCTTGGCCAATGTGATGTACTGGGCCGTACGCACTACACTCTGGAGGATCTGAGGGCCCATGCCAAATCTTTTCAGCCTCCTGAGGGGGAAGAGGTGTTGTCGTGCCCTCTTCACAACTGTGTTGGTGTGTGTGGACCATGATAATTCCTTAGTGATGTGGACACAGAGGAACTTAAAGCTCTTGACCTGCTCCATTACAGCTCCGTGATGTGGATTGGGGCGTGCACGGCCCTCCGTTTCCTGTAGTTCACTATCAGCTCCTTTGTCTTGCTGACGTTGAGGGAGAGGTTGTTGTCCTGGCACCACACTGCCAGGTATCTGACCTCCTCCCTATAGGCTGTCTTATTGTTGTCGGTAATATGGCCTACCACCTTCATGTCGTCGGCGAACATAATGATGGTGCTGTGTATACTTTGTCAATGAATAATTAAGGCGAAAATTATGGGAAATATGCACATTTATTGATATATTTTATACTAATTATCAAACAAAGAATTGCTAAAAGTATTTCTAAAAGATTGCATGTGATATTATTTGTTTCATTTATATTTTTTAAGCCTAAATGATCAACACACCCAGGGTCGTCGCTGCTATTATTGTGGCCTTTAAAGCATGGGAAATCAGCTTAAATGGGTTTTGCAAATTGAACATACAGACAGCAAAAGTGGGGTCCGTTGTACTCAGGAGAACCTCTAGTATCCAAATCCACAGAGTTTAAACACCCAGGGTCGACTCTGCTAATTTTGAGGCCCTATATTTGTGGAAAGGCATCAAAATTAGCAGCAATGAACCTGGGTGTTTCCGCAGTGGAGGAAAGTGAGAGGATCTGAGCTGATCAACGCCATTGAGAGAAGACTTACGCTTTGAGGTGAAGGAGCTGATTGTAGCCCAGGAGAACGCAGCTGTGAGTCAAGCTGAAGCCTTCATGGAGCATTTGGAGCAGGAGATCGCTGAGTTGAAGAAGAGAGAAGTTGAGCTGGAGAAGCTCACACAGAGGCTCACATCCATTTCCTGGAGGTAACCTCACTGAATGATTGTCTGTCTGTTATTGGAAAAAGGTACTCATTATTCTGGGGTGGGTTTCCCAAATTCTTCATAGGTAGCTAGTAGTACATATAGAACACTATTTATCTTGCCGACCTAGACTCACACCTCTTGTAGAACATCAAAGAGCTTAATTGATTGACTGTCAAACTCTCTCTGTCTCTCTCCTCCCCTGTCAGAGTGATGCTTTACCATGCCCTATTCTGTGAATCGATTATACATTTGTACATTTTAGTAATTTAGCAGATGCTCTTATCCAGAGCGACTTACATGAGCAATTAGGGTTAAGTGCCTTGCTCAAGGGGACATCAACAGATTTTTCACCTAGTCGGCTCAGGGATTCGAACCAGCGACTTTTTGGTTACTGGCCCAACACTCTTAACCGCTATGCTACCTGCCGATAAATTAATCTCAGAAGGTTGACTGTCACAGATTAAGCTCTCTGTAGTCTAGATAGATTAGAGGTTATTTCTCCCAAATTCTAGGTTTGTGAAAATGAAGTTCTCACCGGGAAAATAAATGTATTCATATCTAATCTACCTAATGTTTTAGAGGTTTTACCTCTGAAGACAGCATAGGCCATACATTGTTTTCACAATAATCAATAAACTTTTCCTTTCTGTGTTTTTCTTTATTTTATTTCCGACTTTGATGCTACTGTACATAATATGTAAGCCAGTGCCAATTATGCAGGCAAAAACTATGGAAAATGCTTATTATGGGCCTACTACTATAAAAACAATTATTGTGAGATGTGGTTGTTTTACCTACCTTAGTTGATGGCACGGATTGTACAGCACTCTGGATAAGCGTCTGCTAAATGACTAAAATGTAATGTCAAATGTCAGCATAACACATTACAAGTAAGCAAAACACAATTCAACATGTATTTATTTATTATAAATAGGGACAATGTTCGAGCAAAATCCCATGAATTTCACATGTGAGGATGTGAGGGTGGTTGGCAGGGTAAGCCTAGGACAAGGTTGTACATTCAAACTGTGGGTAGAATTAGAAAACCTGCATTTTCAATGGTCCCTTGCTGTTTTGTTACATGTAGTATCTTCTTTATTTTTAGTCTGCTGGACTAAACCAAAGCAAGTATGTAATGACATCACTAGAGGGCAGCAATATACAGGGGAATGGGGGGAATGTACTAGCCCTGAGTTGACCACAGTCAGGTTACAGTAATGCCTGGATGTGAAGTAGCATTGAGGAGTACACCACATCAGTCACTGGCTTCATCAATAAGACGTCCCCACAGTGACCGTACGTACATACCCCAACCAGAAGCCATGGATTACAGGCAACATTCGCACTGAGCTAAAGGGTAGAGCTGCCGCTTTCAAGGAGTGGGACGCTAACCCGGACGCTTATAAGAAATCCCGCTATGCCCTCTGATGAACCATCAAACAGGCAAAGAGTCAATACAGGACTAAGATTGAATCGTACTACACCGGCTCTGACGCTCGTCGGATGTGGCAGGGCTTGAAAACTATTATAGACTACAAAGGGAAGCACAGCCGCGAGCTGCCCAGTGACACAAGCCTACCAGACGAGCAAAATCACTTCTATGCTCGCTTCGAGGCAAGCAACACTGAAGCATGCATGAGAGCATCAGCTGTTCCGGATGACTATGTGATCACGCACTCCGTAGCCGATGTGAGTAAGACTTTTAAGCAGGTCAACATTCACAAGTCCGCAGGGCCAGACGGATTACCAGGACGTGTACTCCGAGCATGCGCTGACCAACTGGCAAGTGTCTTCACTGACATTTTCAACATGTCCCTGACTGAGTCTGTAATACCAACATGTTTCAAGCAGACCACCATAATCCCTGTGTCCAAGGACACTGAGATAACCTGCCTAAATGACTACCGACCCGGAGCAATCACGTCTGTAGCCATGAAGTGCTTTGAAAGGCTGGTCATGGCTCACATCAACACCATTCTCCCAGAAACCCTAGACCCACTCCAATTTGCATACCGCCCCAACAGATCCACAGATGATGCAATCTCTATTGCACTCCACACTGCCCTTTCCTACCTGGACAAGGGGAACACCTACGTGAGAATGCTATTCATTGACTACAGCTCAGCGTTCAACACCATAGTGCCCTCAAAGCTCATCACTAAGCTAAGGACCCTGGGACTAAACACCTCCCTCTGAAACTGGATCCTGGACTTCCTGACGGGCCGCCCCCAGGTGGTAAGGGTAGGTAACAACACATCTGCCACGCTGATCCTCAACACGGGGGCCCCTCAGGGGTGCGTGCTCAGTCCCCTCCTGTACTCCCTGTTCACCCATGACTGCATGGCCAGGCACGACTCCAACACCATCATTAAGTTTGCTGACGACACAACAGTGGTAGTCCTGATCACTGACAACGATGAGACAGCCTATAGGGAGGAGGTCAGAGACCTGGCTGTGTGGTGCCAGGATAACATCCTCTCCCTCAACGTGATCAAGACAAAGGAGATGATTGTGGACTACAGGAAAAAAAAGAGGACTGAGCACGCCCCCATTCTCATCGAAGGGGCTGTAATGGAACAGGTTGAGCGCTTCAAGTTCCTTGGTGTCCACATCACCAACAAACTATCATGGGCCAAACACACCAAGACAGTCTTGAAGAGGGTACGACAAAGCCTATTCCCCCTCAGGAGACTGAAAAGATTTGGCATGGGTCCTCAGATCCTCAAAAAGTTCTACAGCTGCACCATTGAGAGCATCCTGACTGGTTGCATCACCGCCTGGTATGGCAACTGCTTGACCTCCGACCGCAAGGCACTACAGAGGGTAATGCGTACGGCCCAGTACATCACTGGGGCCAAGCTTCCTGCCATCCAGGACCTCTATACCAGGCGGTGTCAACAGAAGGCCCTAAAAATTGTCAAGGACTCCAGCCACCCTAGTCATAGACTGTTCTCTCTGCTACCGCACGGCAAGCGGTACCGGAGTGCCAAGTCTAGGTCCAAAAGGCTTCTCAACAGCTTCTACCCCCAAGCCATAAGACTCCTGAACAGCTAATCATGGCTACCCGGACTATTTGCAGAGAATGCCAAGATTGTGCAAAGCTGTCATCAAGGCAAAGGGTGGCGACTTTGAATAATCTAAAATCTAAATATATTTTGATTTGTTTAACACTTTTTTGGTTTCTCCATGATTCCATATGTTATTTCATAGTTTTGTCTTCACTATTATTGTACAATGTAGAAAATAGTAAAAAT